GTGTAATATGTGATGACAGCATAAAGGCCTGTGCGATTGGATAGAATTTGATTTGTTGTAAAGTTCCGCCTTTTATTACATAGTTTTGGAAAATGTAAACAAGATTGTACAATTGTGGTGTCTATGGCCACCTTTACTTATCCTCAGTACACATCCTCAGTATTCTTTTCCTGCCTTAATAAGTAAGCCTTATGGTGCTATTAATTAAATGTTTTTCAAAGATTTACTTACAGAGCTTTTGTTTTTGAAAAGCTTGGATATGGTCCTCTCTCAGCATGTTTCACTACAAGCCTGGCGAACACAGTGATATGCGTTTGACCTTTTCTTTAAACAACAGACTTTATTTAGGTTTGGTATTCTGTACACAGCAAATGACACCAGTTCTATTGGAAGTAATTAGCAACACCTACAATTATAAATGTCAGAGCTGTCACAGTCAGCTTCCAGCTATCAGTATATACAATGACAACAGAAGAGTTTTGCTTTACTAGAAAGCCTTATGTCAAGGTTTTAATTGGCACCTGTATCATAGTGATAGTTTACAATTTTAGCCGACAAAATGCGGGTGTCAGAAAAATGCTGTACGTGTGTGCATCTATGTCACTTTTGCATTCAAAGGGAAATGTATAACCTATTAAATTTAATTTTAGGTGAACAGGTCTGGCTGATAAATATAAAATCATTTTAAATGATGACAAACTACACTTCATTATTTTTTTATTCTCCAAGATTGTTTAGAAAATTGAAGTTTTTAACCCTGCTTGGAATTGGCTCTCCTGTGTAAGAAGTAGGAGTTCTCACATTTCCAGATTACGGACAGAAGGCACTTTGTGGCCTGGTGCACTACAACAATGCTTCAATGAAAGACTACAAGACCTAAGAATGTGGGGGTTTGCTTACTGAAAGGAAATGTGTATGCCCTTTCTAATTTTTCTGGATAAAATGGGGAAGGATTAGAACCTCTGTAAAGTTTTTATTGCTGTCTAAACCCTGATTGGGGAGATTCATATCCCTGTTTGTCCTGGTATTTACTGTCACTGAGACAGAAAGTGACAAGGAATCCAAATGTTTTCCCTAAAACGTGAAGGTGAACTTTCCAACAGTGACAAATGTCAACTGTAGGACAACTGTCTAAGGGGACTTCCTCCTTACTTTAGGAAGTTTATCTCCCAATTCCTGTTTTGTCCTAGAAATGAAGTAAAATCTCCCCCGTGGGTCATAGAAAGCATAAAATAGCCTAACAAGGATTTTAACCACTCCCTATGCTATCCAATATTGGCTATAGATACACTTTAAGGTTTATATGTCAATTTTGACTGGGCTGTATCTTTAAACTCACATGGAAGAAAAATATATTTTAAATATATTTTAAAAATGTTCTTCCCAAATATATTGACATATATTTGAAATGCTACAATTTTGTCCATATTCAATATATTTCAAAATATATTTCACTATATATATATATATATATATATATATATATATATACAGTGGGGCAAAAAAGTATTTAGTCAGCCACCAATTGTGCAAGTTCTCCCACTTAAAAAGATGAGAGAGGCCTGTAATTGGCATCATAGGTAGACCTCAACTATGAGAGACAAAATGAGAAAAAAAATCCAGACAATCACATTGGCTGATTTGGAAAGAATTTATTTGCAAATTATGGTAGAAAATAAGTATTTGGTCAATATCAAAAGTTCATCTCAATACTTTGTTATATATCCTTTGTTGGCAATGACAGAGGTCAAACGTTTCCTGTAAGTCTTCACAAGGTTGGCACACGCTATTGCTGGTATGTTGGCCCATTCCTCCATGCAGATCTCCTCTAGAGCAGTGATGTTTTTGGGGCTGTCGCTGGGCCACACAGACTTTCAACTCCCTCCAAAGGTTTTCTATAAGGTTGAGATCTGGAGACTGGCTAAGCCACTCCAGGACCTTGAAATGCTTCTTACGAAGCCACTCCTTCGGGCGGTATGTTTGGGATCATTGTCATGTTGGAAGACCCAGCCACGTTTCATCTTCAATGCCCTTGCTGATGGAAGAAGGTTTGCACTCAAAATCTCACGATACATGGCCCCATTCATTCTGTCCTGTACATAGATCAGTCATCCTGGTCCCTTTGCGGAGAAACAGCCCCAAAGCATGATGTTGCCACCCCCATGCTTCACAGTAGGTATGGTGTTCTTTGGATGCAACTCAGCATTCTCTCTCCTCCAAACACGACGAGTTGTGTTTCTACCAAACTGTTCTATTTTGGTTTCATCTGACCATATGACATTCTCCCAATCCTCTTCTGGATCATCCAAATGCTCTCTAGCAAACTTCAGACGGGCCCAGACATGTACTGGCTTAAGCAGGGGGACACGTCTGGCACTGCAGGATCTGAGTCCCTGGCGGCGTAGTGTGTTACTGATGGTAGCCTTTGTTACGTTGGTCCCAGCTCTCTGCAGGTCATTCACTAGGTCCCCCCGTGTGGTCCTGGAATTTTTGCTCACCATTCTTGTGATCATTTTGACCCCACAGGGTGAGATCTTGTGTGGAGCCCCAGATCGAGGGAGATTATCAGTGGTCTTGTATGTCTTCCATTTTCTAATTATTGCTCCCACAGTTGATTTGTTCACACCAAGCTGCTTGCCTATTGCAGATTCAGTCTTCCCAGCCTGGTGCAGGTCTACAATTTTGCTTCTGGTGTCCTTCGACAGCTCTTTGGTCTTCACCATAGTGGAGTGTGGAGTGTGACTGTTTGAGGTTGTGGACAGGTGTCTTTTATACTGATAACAATTCAAACAGGTGCCATTGATACAGGTAATGAGTGCAGGACAGAGGAACCTCTTAAAGAAGAAGGTACAGGTCTGTGAGAGCCAGAAATCTTGCTTGTTTGTAGGTGACCAAATACTTATTTTCCACCATAATTTGCAAATAAATTCTTTCCAAATCAGCCGATGTGATTGTCTGGATTTTTTTTTCTCATTTTGTCTCTCATAGTTGAGGTCTACCTATGATGCCAATTACAGGCCTCTCTCATCTTTTTAAGTGGGAGAACTTGCACAATTGGTGGCTGACTAATACTTTTTTGCCCCACTGTATATATATATATATATATATGTATACACTGCATGTTGAAATGCGTTTTTATTACAAAATATATGAAAAAAAATTTTTAAAAATACATTTCAAATATACTGTATGTCTTTAAAAATACAAATCTACATTTTTGGAATGCATTTAAAAATATATGTAAAAATATTTGTTAAAATTACTTTTTTATATGTGAAAAAAAAATCTGAAGAATATATTTAAACAAAATATATATTTTTAATAATATATATTTTTGAAATATATTCTTCAGAATATATTGAAATATATTTTGAAATATATTGAATATGGCCAAAATTGTACCATTTCAAATATATGTCAATATATTTGGGAGGAATATTTTTAAAATATATTTCAAATATATGGGAAGGGGCAGTGAGAATGAGACTTCCTAGGCAGTAATTGTAGTTGTACAAAATAGGAGTCTCAGGCTTTTGGATAAAGTTGCCTTATTTGGTGGGGAACAGTAATGGAGCCAATAACTGGCTGCAGAGGTGTCTCTTTTTAACAGTAATTAACTTTAATAGCCTGGAAAATTGAATTCTGGGAAGAATGAAAAAGAGATATCTATAGTCTGAGACTGTGATTGCCTGAGGGTGACAGGTATGGAGAAACAGCAATGCCATACCTTAGAGCTATGTGATTACCATGCTTTTATTCTATTTTACTGAATAGTAAGGATTCATTAACACTGGATGAAATGTTCATTTGCTTCAGTTTCAAGTGCAGGCAAAATGCATGGAAATGCATAAATGTTTGGATTTAAATGGCATCCATTCCCATCGGTGACTGTATTGCTACTTTTTGAATGCTTTGTTCAGCATTTTTCCATTTAATTCAATTCAGAAGCAGAAAACAACTGAAACCTAAATTCTCCCATCTGCCATTGTATCACATACCTGGTAGCACAGCCTGATATGATGAGGAAGGCCTCACTTACACCTCTGACTCGGGGCCCCTGGTAGTGTAGACAGAAGGCGCAGGAGTGCAGAGTGGCATGGATGCCTTTTAGCCTTGCTAGCAGCAGAGAAGGTGTCCACGCTGGACAGGTGTAGTTGTCTGGGGTCTTTAGTAAGGCAGGCAGTCAGGTAGCTGACTGAAGTAGACTGGTACTGATGACAGCGGACAGATGAGGTGGTTGCTGGTATCAGGATCAGGGGGCCACAGGATACATGAGAGGCTGAAGACAAAGCTGCACTGATCCTGAGCACTGGCACAGTTTAAATAGCCCGTCTGGTGCCAACATCTGTCACAAGTGCACGAGCACACGGATACACACGTGTATGCGCACGGGTACGAGCACCATTGTGCACATGCATTTGAAGGTGCACAGAAGGCGTTCCAGAGGAGCCATCTCGTTTGCTGGCAAACCTTTCCTGACACATTGAAAGTACAAATCAGGCATAGAAAGTGTTATTTTACCCAATGAGTAGCTGATGCTTTGAACTGACTTCTGGCAACAGTAAGCATAGATCTACTGTATAGTCAAAAAGTTTAAATAAACAAAATAAATTAAAAAAAAAGGGAAGACTTGATGGATTTCCTGGTCTTTTTCTACCATTACTCTTCTGTGTTTCTATAAGAATGCCATGTGCAATAATAGTTGCTTTGTGGATGCACCCTAAGAGATTTGCGTATAGTTCAGTGAAGATCCAGATACTATGACAATACTTAGGCCCTGTGCAGAAATTATTGCAGCAGTGTCTAACATACCGTATTTTTCGCTCCATAAGATGCAGTTTTTTTCCCCCAAAAAAAGGGGGGAAAATGTCAGTGCGTCTTATGGAGCGAATATGGAGCAGCTGGTCCGGTATTTCCACCTGCTGCCACTGTGTCAGAATATCGGGCCGGCCGCTCAGCTCTTCTCTGCAGCAGGACCTTACCTGTTCCTCGGTCCAGCGCTGTACAGTCTTCCCGCGCCGGCATGTTTAGTGTGAGCACCAGGCTGTGACAGCCGGGTGCCCACTGCGCATGTGCGAGAATCGCTGCGCTTTGTGAATGGTCCGGCATCTTCTAGGACACATGACAGATCCCAGACAGATCCCAGAAGACGCCGGGCCACTCACAAAGTCTGCAGCGCTTCTCGGGTCAGCAGTCTCTGCGCAGTGGGCACACCCGGCATCACCTGTACTGTGTCTGCAGTGCCCACACTAAAGGGAGGGCAACTGTCAAATTCAGGTACCCGCTCCCCATCTCCTGTACTGTGTCTGCAATCTCTGGTCATCTGGTCAGTCTCTGGTCTCTCCTGTACTGTGTCCGCAGTCTCTGGTCATCCCTGTACTGTGTCCGCTGGTCAGTCTATGTCCGGTCTCTGGTCATCTCCTGTACTGTGCAGTCTCTGTCCTGTAAGTCTCTGGTCATCTCCTGTACTGCCCACTGTACTATGTCCGCAGTCTCTGGTCCCCACTACGTCCCCTGTACTACGTCCGCAGTCTCTGGTCATCTCCTGTACTGTGTCCGCATGTGCCTGCTCTCTGGTCATCTCCTGTACTCTGTCCGCAGTCTCTGGTCATCTCCTGTACTATGTCCGCAGTCTCTGGTCATCTCCTGTACTGCGTCCGCAATCGCAGTCTCTGGTCATCTCCTGTACTGTGTCTGCAGTCTCTGGTCATCTCCTGTACTATGTCCGCAGTCTCTGGTCATCTCCTGTACTGTGTCCGCAGTCTACTGGTCAGTCTCTGGTCCCCTGTACTGTGTCCGCAGTCTCTGGTCATCCTCTTGTACTGTGTCCGCAGTACCCTTCTGTCTCTGGTCATCTCCTGTACTATGTCCGCAGTCTCTGGTCATCTCCTGTACTGTGTCCGCAGTCTCTGGTCATCTCCTGTACTGTGTCTGCAGTCCATTGGTTCAGAATATTTTTTTTCTTGTTTTCCTCCTCTAAAACCTAGGTGCGTCTTATGGTTAGGGGCGTCTTATGGAGCGAAAAATACGGTATTTTTTCTTATTTTGAAACCTCAAAATATGGTGTACAAGGTCCATTTGAGTACCGGGAAACGCTTTGCATGCATTTTTCATAATGAAAAAAGGCTCTGGACAGCATCTGGAATGGGAGAGTTAAAAAAAAATTTCAAACGCTTATAAATGTGGTTAGTCACGTTTAGCCACGTTTACAAGCATTTGGCGTTTGAAGCGCTGATAAAATCTACTGCTGTACGCAAGTTTTCTGCGTTCAAAACAAACGACTGTAAACTCAACTGCCTGTAAACGACTGCAAACGACGATGTGTACATGGACACATAGGAAAACATTATGGTGAGTTCAGGGGCTGCTGAATGCTGAACAGCTCTTAAACGTGAGTTTATCAGCTGCAGTGTACATGAGCTCTTACAAACAACCCAAGCCTGATATCTCAGTAGAGAGCAGAATCACCTACTGTCTTATAGAGACTCCTATAGCAAGAGATTCCCTTGCCCCCCCCCCCCCCCCCCCTTGCTCCACCAGCCTTTCATTGTAACTCTTGTGTAGTGCATGAGTATAATAAGGAAATGCACCGCTTTAACCTGACCTTTTGTATTCTGCCCTTCTGGGCTATATACTGTATGTTTTTTTTTTTCATATTGCCAGTGTTCATTTATGCTATGTTTAAAATAATATCGAATTAAAGTGGTTCTAAGGGCTCACTTTTTCTTTAAGATATGAAACACATCATACTTACCTGCTCTGTGCAATGGTTTTGCACAGAGCAGCCCCTATCCTCCTCTTCTTGAATCCCCCGCCTGCAATACTGGCCCTTCCCCCTTGCCCAGTGGCACTCATGCATGCTCGCTCCCGAGTCGGCTGTGTGTGTTTATGGGACACATAGAGCATGGCTCAGTCCTGCCCCATTCTGCCTCCTCATTGGCTTTGATTGACACCAGCGGGAGCCAATGGCTCAGCCAATGTGGAGAGAGAGTCCTGGGAGAGCTGCTGCTCTCGTGCACATTGCTGAATCAGGATGGGGCTCAGGTGAGTATTGGGGGGCTACAGAGGAGAGCTGCACACTAAAGGTTGCATGAATGTATGAGGGTAAAAAAAAAAACCTCCAGCCTTTAGAACCACTTTAAAGACACACATTTACTGTGACAGGTGGCACCTGTGAAAGATCCAAAATGAACTCATCACTAACTTAGTAAGGACTAATCAGAGAGAATAGATCAGTGCTGGGAATAGTTTGTAGAAAAAGAATAAAGATCAAAGACAAAGAAATCACAAATCACCTACATAAGAATGAATTAGAATAAAAATGTTGTTTATGAAGATTGAATACTGCATGAATATCTATTCTCTGAATCAGACTAATGGTTTTTGGCAAGTGTTATTTTGCAGTGGCTGATGACAATAATATTGTCATTTCTTATTTCGAACTTTCTTTATGGACTTGACTATATAACAATACCTAAATGACCACAATGATAGACAGGTGTACGTTTTGGAAGCAAACATCTGTGCTACCATAATTATAACATGCATATTCTACACTTATGCAGGCCATACATGGGTCGAATTCCCAACAAATTTTCTTTGGAAAATCAGACATTTTGTGCGTTTTGTAATTCGATGGTTCCTCCATTGATTTTGAAATTCAGCCAACCAAGCCTTCAATTTCACCTCATGTTGCTACAGAAAATAATTTTTGTGGCCAAGAATTTTTTTTTTCATTCCAGGTCACAGCTCATTTCTTTTTCAATTACATTTCTCACATGATTCTTCCATCATTGATAAGAAATTTGTTTGTTTTTCAAAAAATTTCCAACATGCCCGATCACTCAAATTCGATGGTCGCTTGAAAATTGGCTGTTGATGTGGCCCACTAATGGTGCAAAATTTGAACGAAAATTTTTAGAAAAGATTTTCTAAAGAAAATTATTCTTTTGGAATTAGACTACTGAATGCCGGCTTTAGGGGTAGATTTACTAAAACTGGTGCACACAGAATCTGGTGCAGCTGTGCATGGCAGCCAATCATCTTCCAGGTTTTCTTGTCAAAACTTAATTGAACAAGCTGAAGTTAGAAGCTGATTGGTTACTATGCACAGCTGCACCAGATTCTGTGTGCACCAGTTTTAATAAATCTACCCCTTAGCCCTGGTTCACACCAATGCAACTTGTGATGCAATTTCAAATCGCATGACAAGTCGCACCCTATTGTCGGTAGTGGAGCCCTTCATATTGGTGCGACTTTGCAGTGCCACCCACCAGTTTGGAAAAAAAAACGATTTCTGCACTATTGAAGTCGCACAGATGTTAGCCAAGTTGCATCAGAAGTCACACTGACATGCAGCTTTGACATCATGCGACTTAAAGTGAAGTCTCACAATTTCAAAGTCGGATTCAGTGTTTACTGTCGCTTAGTGTCTCATGCCTGCTCCTAACTTAATGAAAGTCTGTGAGCAACTCAAAGAGGTTCATCAAAAGCTGCAAGGTGATTGATACTTTGCCAGTCTGGAATATAACAGTTATGCAATGAGGAGGTAAATTTCTTGGTTGTGCTGGCTGCCCTCTAGTGGTCAAAATCTAAACAAAAAGTCTAAAAATTCTGTATGACATAAAGGCCATGTAAATATATGAAAACCATGTCAAAATTATCTACACGCAACTGGCACACAGGGGCGGACTGACAACTCATGGGCCCCCAGGCAATAGGGGATCATGGGGCCCCTGTGTCCTTGCCCACACTCAAAAAAGCCTATAAAAAGGTACCAGGGGCATTTCATGGGGCCCCCTACTGACCCCGGGCCCTCGGGCAGTGCCCGAGTGCTCGAAGGGTCAGTCCGCCCCTGCTGGCACATTATCCATTACAACAAAAGTATGATAATGTTATGTAGAGAAGTTTTTTTTTAAACATTTTTTGATAAGTTCCCTTTAAGAATGTTAGACACAATGAATGTCATTGAGCAATTTTCATGTCTTCTTATATTACCATTTTTGTTTAAATACTACATGTGCACATTTGTAATACACTATTTGGCTTGCTTTTTATTACTGGAGATGTTCATCAAATTAAGAGAAGGGCCTTTTTCTGTGCATTTCAAACTGCTGGCACATTTATTTTTGCATTTAACTATCACTAATTACCGTGAAAGGTGATTTGAAGTTGGGAAGATTGACTTTGTACAATCACACAGCATCTGCCAAATTAACTTATACCACCCAGAGGATTTAAAATAAATATATAAAAGCAGATTAGCTGTTTATATCTACACATTTTCATCTTTCACATTTCCAGCCAAGAAGTTTGCCACTCAGGATAATTATAGGAATGTATTTTTTTTACTGTCAAATGTGTTTTGATTAAACACATTCTGTATATATTCGTAATTATCTTAAAACCGATGATGAATATCCTCTTGGATCCAAACTGCAATGGTGTAAAGCAAAACATAGATCTTAGAGTTATCCTTCTCTAAATCATGGGTTCCTAATACATATTAATAAAATGAAGCCTGCATAAACACCATGAATGCACAGACATCTAATCTGCTTTCAGATTTCTTGTAATGTACTGGCATGCATCTTCAAATGAGCTTTTAGGATTCTAGTCATAGCCATAGCGTGGCTTCAAGGTTATCAGAAAAGGCAATTTTACACTGGCCATATCCAGTAGATCATTATTCTTGACTTTTACTTTTCTAACCTGGAGAACTGATGTGTAGGGGAAAAACCTTCAATTGAATATTTATTAATAGTTATTGTGTAGGTAATTGTGTGACAGATGAAGAGGACACACAAAAGGATTGCACAATGTTGACTTTTAAACTAAAATCTGCAACTTCCTCACTGGTCTGATAAAAATAAAGCTGACATCAGATGGCACAGAGGTCAATGGAGAAGAGGCCTGTTTTTGTCAAATATGACTCTCTCTATTCCAAACCAAAAATCCACTGTTATTAGCATTTTATTTGACAGGTATAGACTACTTCTAAGTTGGCACCAACCGACACCTAAATTGAAGCTTTCAGAAACTTTACTGTCTGCAGGAAAAAATCCTGGTATGTCATTATATACAGCAAACTTGTAACTCAAAAAACACTTTACCATTTATGAATAAAAAGCCACCCTTGGACTCCCACTAAGCGACAACTTTCCCTAGGCTGAGTTGATCAGTCTGCTGAAAGGAGGATAAATTGTTTTCTCAGTCTACAGTCCTCAAGTAATCAGCCTACAACACTGGAAATTCAAGCAAATAAAAGGATGAGAGGCCGCAGCAGCAGGGGCTGGTCTGTGCCAGGCAATTGTGAACATAGCCAAGGACTGCACAGGCTTCAGGATTTACAAAATTGTGTCATCTCTGAACCAGCATCTACATCTACAAAGTAGATGCTGAACCTGGGGTGCCTAAATAAAGATGCAAGTGTACAATCCAAACGCACTCGTTCCTGCGTTAAAAATGGCTGTGTAAATAAGTGGGTGCTGCAGCGACCATCGGCTGGAACCGAACAGAATCAGCAAGGGAGAATGTCACCAGCACATCGAGAATCACCAATATGGGTCCAAAGGTTTTAATAAACGATCACATAATTAAACCAAGGCAACATTTTGGAGTCTCGCAGGACCCATTCATCAAGCATGTGTGTCACATGCCTGAAGAAGGGGTCCTTCGAGACTCTGAAACGTTGCCTTGCTGTAATTGTGATAGTTTATTAAAACTTTTTGACCCATATTGGTGATCCTTGATGTGCCGGTGACATTCTCCCTTGCTGATTCTGTTCGGTTCCAGACGATGGTCGCTGCAGCAGCCACTTATACACACAGCCATTTTTAA